GGGGCAAAGGAGAGACGGAGCGGGCGGACGGTAGGGCGGATGAGCGGGTGAGACTCGCTACATTGGTGACTCGTGATGGCCGCTGCGTCTTGGCTTACTCTCGCTTGGGTGCTGGCCAAATATTATGCTACCCTGTGGCACGCGTTCATAGCTCAGAATTCTCATTAGACATTACAGTAAGGCAAGACCGATGCTACTAGGTGAACATGTAGGAGATGGAGGGAGAGGGAAAGAGGGCCAGAGATAAAGGAAAGGTCCAGAATATCGTGATTGGACTGAAATGCGCCCTGAGAGAGAGAGAGGCACAGAGGGATGATCATAAATGGTACGAGGAGACAAAGGGTGACAATGATACTGTGGGTCCAGAAAGAGTCCAATAGATATGCATCCGCGCCTCCTCTTCCCTCTTCCCTCTCCCTCCTCCCTCTCCCTCTCCAGCTTTCCCGCTTTCCTGTCCGGGCACGCTTGCTCAGGCGACCGACTCGCGCTGGTCGGGCCTTGCCATATCCTCATGCTCCTCGCGCAGCATATCGTCAAAAGCAGCACTAGGAGCGGGCGTACCCTCTGTGCTGCGCGGGGCTGAGGTGCTTCTTCCCGAAGCAGTGCCAGTAGCAGCCGTCGAGGTGCTGGCCCTTCCGTTCCCTGCAGCTTCCGCCAATGATCGTCGCTGGGCTTCGGCCAGATCGGCCGCTTCGCGCTCCTCGGCTGTTGCACCGGGAGCAGCACCAGCAGCGCCTGCAGCAGCAGCTGGCCTCCTCCTCCTGCGACGTGGTAGCGTAATGAACTTGGGCATCGCCCTGCTCTCCAGGTCGAGAGAGACATTGGTAGCGGCCTGCAGTGCCTCGATCCAGTCCACGACGTGCTTATCGCTGGTGGTCTGGATCAGGAATTGCTCCCCCTCGGCTCGCACGCGCACCACGTGTCGGCGCTTGAGGTAGTCGGCAGCTAAGCCACTCTCGGCGGACTGAAGAGAGTAATTGCGGATGAGGCCGTTGCGCGAGTCGTTGTGAGAGCCCAAGGGAAGACGGGTGTGCTGCATCGCCTCGATCAAGTTGGCACCAGGAGTCGTGCTTGCACCTCCATTCGATCCGTCCTCGTTGATGGGCACTGGGTGGACGTGCTGGCCCTGCATGTCTCCTGGCGGGCTGCGAGGAGCGCCCGACATGTCGTTGCGGTAGACCTTGAGGCAGGTGCCGTGGAGTACAAAGTACTTCTTGGACCAGCCTCGGTCCTTGGCCTGGACTCTAGGCGCACTGAACTCCATCTTGCGGGAGAGGTAGCCTTCGATGTGGACACTGCAGCCATACTTTGGTAGACGCTCCTTGCCTTCCTCCTCGCGAGGGAAGATCTTCTGCGGGCCTTCTGGTCGGCTATGGATGATAGCGTATGGAGGCGGCACGGCAGCCATCTCAATCATAGATCGTCGACGCTGGAGATGAGGTGCATCCTCGACGGCTGGAGTAGGTGGAGGCTTGGAAGCGAAGTCGGTGTCAAGAGCTGCTGTCTTGACTGCTTTGTCGTCTTCTTGTCGACTCTTTGCCTGGTGAGAGGCGAAAGGCTGTTGACGATTAGGTGACAGCGGCGTCATGATATCCCTGGCATTAGCTTGACGGTTCGAGCTTGGCAGATTGATCAGTGACCGGCTCTGCTGCTGGTACAGTCCAGGACGATGAGCCGGCTGCTTCTGCGCGCTCGAGCCGTCGAGCCCTTGGGATACAGCCACGGTATGCGTCGACCTCATGCTTGGCGATCGAGACGCAGCGATAGCGGGATGAGGTGCTGGAGCTAGCAAGCCCGACATCGAATACGGTCCAGGGACAGTCTGGTCACCAGACGCTGGAGAGGCGATAGGTGAAGTGGCTAAGCGTTGTCGTTGTTGCTGCATAGGCGAAACATTAGCCGAACCCGCTCTTTGAGGCTGTAAGGGGGACGAGGCTGCGGACCCAGATCCGGCACGGCTGGCTTGAGTAGATTTGCCTTTCAGGTGCAGACCAAGCGCTGGCGGCAGAGAAGGAGGTGGCATATCTCTGCCAGGCGTTGGTACGAGTCGCATGCTTCTTGAACTGGCGGAAGAAGGCGCTCGGCTGCGAGAGATGATAGAAGGAGAAGGTGGCGGTATTCCGCTATCGGCAACATTCGAGGCGACATTTCGAGCAGCGGCGGGTCGATGGCTGAAGTAGGAGGGTTCGTAGGCCTGTGAGGCCATCGGAGTCCTCGCGGCCATGCCGTTCTGTTCTGGACCGGGCGTGGGCGTTTCGAAAGGCGTCTGATGGAAGCTGAACCACCCGGAACGACCAACAATGACTCCCTCGGCCGGATTGCTTGCAGAAGGGGTATTACGACCAGAAGTGGACGGAGAGGAGTTCAATGGGCCAGCCACGAACTTGGGTGCAGGAGGCATCTGGATGTCTCCAGGCCGGCGACTCAACCGATCCACTGCCGGGCTAGCAGACTGAGGGGTAGGGGCAGCGTCACCATTGGCCATCATGTCCAGGTCAGCGGCAGCGGTGAAGAAACTGCCAGGCATGCCCATCCCTTCTCGCTCCGTCCTAGAGTCCTCTGCATCCGTCTCTTCTTCGTCGTGGCTTTCCGTATCGGTGTCTGTCTCTGAGCCGGATTCACTCTCCCCATTGTCGGCTTCAGTCTCGTCCTCGCTGCTGCCACCGCTTCGATCACCACCTGCTCCGCCTCCGGGAGTTCGCCCATCCCCTCCCGAGCTACCTCGCCTGTCACCATTGTCCTCGCCTTCGCTGTCGTCCCCACCTTGACGCCTGGGAATGCCTTGCATGGAATTTAGGCGAGGAACATGGAACAAAGAGCGTCGGGACCTTGCAGTGCGTCGGGGTGGGTCCGAAGAGGTGACAATAGCTTCAGGTGTTGCTGAGCGGGAAGACTCTGTGGTCCTCACCGCTGCGACTGCTTGTGAGGTGGCATTTGCTGCAGGTGAAGCTGGCAAAGGCGTTTCGGGGGCCGTCAAGACCGAGAGCTGATCGACACTGCGTTTGTGGGCCACAGTGAGGGCTTCAGGAGCATCGACGAAGAAGTCGCCTGCAAGGGGTGTCTGAGGTGTCTGAGGGCGGGTAGACGTTTGCTCCGCCTGCAGAGCTTCACCGCCAGATGAAGCCTTCTCACCCCTCGAAGCAGGAGTGGCTGCGAGCGTCGTGTTCGAAGTCAAAGGCGCCAGCGCGACGTCATTAGGCGACGAAGTCGAGGGCGCCGTGATGCCTGTATGTTGAGAGTGAAGACTCGCGGACGATGGTTGAGAGACCGCAAGAGAGTTGGCCGCACTGCTGTTGCCAGATGCAGTGCTCGCCTCGTCAGTTGATGTGCTGCGTCGCGAAGAGAAGTGAGCTGCAAGGGCAGCACTTTGCAATCGGTCCTTGGGACTTGAGTGGGGCACTTGCTCCTCTGGTCCGTGTTGCTTGGTCCGTTCTTCAGCCACAACGGCGCCAGGCTGCACGGGTCCAAAGGCAGAGCTGAAGGACACCTCGGGATCCTCCAGGATTTCCATCTCTGAGCTCGGCCGAGTCTGTCCAAAGGCCTGCGATTGCGCTGTGCTGAATGGGACGTGATCCGGCATAGGGGGAGCCGAAGAGGCCATCGCACGCTTATTGCTTGCCCTCTTGCCGGTGATCTTTTTCATCCAGCTGCCGCCTGCGAGCACATCTGGGTCGTTGGATCCCTCACCGCTTTCGTCGACGTCACGAGAGATTGAGGGCCTTGATCTCATGAAACTGCTTCTCCTCAGCTTGGCCAGGGCGGAGCTATGTTCTTCGCTCTGCGAAGCATCGACAGCACTGCCGCCCCATGGTCGGAAGATGCTCATCGACTTGCGGCCCTGATCCAGGCGGGGGGCCGTGCCAGGTTGAAGCACTCCACCATATGCTTGCCCACGATGGCCCGATACATCCATGCTCATCCTTGTATTGGAAGATGCAGAAGAATATGGCTGGTCCAAGCCCAGGTTCTGGCTAGAACGGCTCGCCCAACTTCTAAGCTTTTCCAGCCTGAGACCACTGCTACGGCTACCACGACGTGAGTCGACCGAAGGTCGCCCGCTACTGAACCTCGAAGGAGACATCGTCGTCGAGGCAGTGTCAGCGTAGGAAGAGCTCATGGTGGCGTTGAAATCGTAGCTTTCCCCTGGGTTGTCCATGATTGACGTAGCCGAAGAAGAGAGGTCACGGGACACGTTGAAGGACATAGGTGCAGAAGCACCCGTGTAGCTTGCTGTGCGTTCATCCTCGAGTGGATGCTCGGGAAGAGCAGGGGCCATGCCTGCAGATTGTGCGGCAGTCGGCCTCCGATTTGCCGCACGATTTGACATTTCAAACGAAGTTCTGGAGCTTCTGTTCGAAGTCGAGGTGCCGATGTTGTCTGGACTTGTAGATACGGAACTGCGCTGAAACCGATACGGACTGGGCTCGGGCGCCAGCTCTTTATGGGCTGAGGCTGTAGGCGATGCTGAGGGGCTCTCGGGAAGAGTAGAGGCCGCGGGAGTCATGGATTGCTGTGATCCTGCGGTTGGAAAGGCATAGGATGAGAGCGATGTCAGGGGCGGTGATTGAGATGATCCAGATGTCATCTGCCCTGCAGAGCCTTGAGCAAGGCGGGCTTGGGACGCGAGATCCGAGCCAGAGCCGGGCTGTGCTGAATGAGAGCCTGATGTGGGATAGAGCGGGATGGCAGGATCGTTAGATCTTCTGCTCTGATGATTGATGCTTGGGGGAGCAAGAGAGAGGCTCGAGCTGCTCGGCTCTTCTAGAGCTGGGGCCGATCCTCGTCGCCGAAAAGAGGCGGTGAGGTTCGGATTGCAGCCTGTTCCGGAGGCCCCGGCCCCAATGGTGCCAGCGTCACTGGGTCTGCTTGCCTTCAGGCTTGGAGATGCTGTGGATGATGTCGGCTGCAGGTTCTCTCTTGACTTGAGAGCAGACGCTAGTCGGCCGAGCTGTGGTGAAGAGGTCTTATGCTGAGGTGACGTGAACGTTGAAGAGGATCCTGGCTTCAATGCATGACCAGAACTAATAGTGTTCTCGGATTCTGATTGGCGGCGGGACGATGCGAAGAAGCCAACGGCTGCGCCGCGAATGGCTCGAGAAGAAGGTTGTCTAGAAGACTGAGGGCTACTTGAAGGTACTTCGACGGCCGGACTCGCCCCCTCTGCCAGTAATCCCGTCGGTTTGGACCTGGATCGAATCTGGGAGAAGGACATGCGTGGAGAGCTTGGTCCTGATGTGGTCGGCGAAGCGGAGGGAGGAGTGGTCCCTTCGTAGGAAGGTGGTGGGACTGTGATAGGAGGAGGGATGACATGTGCCGTCGAAAGTCCGGCCCGTGCCATGAATTCGGTATGGTCTTCCTCGATAGGGACGGTAACCGGTGGAGTAGTCTGGGTTTTGCCGAGGTGGCTGATAGATCTGAGCATGTGAGCTTGCTCTCGAGCAAGTAGGCTGGGTCCAGCTGTCGAAGCTCCTGACCGTGTACGACTACGAGAACCCATTGCAGCGGCATTGTCGCCCGGCAGAGCAGTCGTCGTGACTGGCTCTTTCATCATATGGTCGGCGTCGAATGCACTGCCAGATGATGATGCCTGTGATGCAGAAGCTAGAGCGTCGCGAGAAGTTCGTCGTTGATGTAGTGGCCCGGTAGTAGCTTGTTGTATTTCGGATCCCTTGGTCCTGGAGGTGTCAGATATGCTTAGCGCAGGAAAAAGGGTAGTCGGGCCCATCTGATTGGCTGATCAGCCGTTCGGGTGGGAGAGTGTAGGGGCTTGTATGCCGAGTGCTGAAGAGTCAAGGTCCGAACGTGTATGTGAGACCTAGGGCTGGTGATAGGCGCTGCTGTGCACAACAAGAGGCAGGAACAACAGTTACGATGGCTTGCAAGGCCAGGATGAAAGGGAAATACGTAATGACAAGAGCTTCTGCCAGCCGGTGATCTTCGAGAGACGCAGGGGGGTATGTATGCTCCTGCACCGGGAGTGATTAATATGGAGGAGTGTGCAGTTGAATGAGTGGGGAAGGCTGTGACAGAAGGAGGGACACGGGCGATGGTGTAATGGAAGGATGTTTCAACGGAGCGGGCTATGGGTGAGGGGTGGGTGGTAGGACGACTGGCCGAGTTGCCGGCCTGATCGTCTGCCTGTCTGGTCTTCTGCCTCTGCGACGGGTCGGCCTGCTTGCATCCGTCGCCTGCCCTTGGCGCCGCCTGCTCCGATTGCTGAAGCTCCTCCTCCCGCGTGGGGAGAGAGATGGCGGAGATAATCTGCGCCCAGACGAGAGGGAAGCGAGACGGAGGCCATGCCGGCGAGAGGAGCCTGGCAACGAACCTGGCCAAGGGCTCCCTCCACTCCTCCTCTCCCACCACCTCTCGCTGCAGACCATGTCAGCCAGTCGCTCGCCCCCTGGCAGGGCTCAGCACTGCCGAGCATGTGAGAAGGCGCTCCGCCCTTGACCCATGAGGTAGTGGTGCGTCGGTCTCTCTGCACCCGACTCCACGCACCTGACTGTGATCGAGGGTGCTCCTCTGCCCAGGTGCCCTCCCTCACCATCGCCGGGCGGTGCGATGTGGGGTCGGGGTACGGCGGAGTTGATACGAGTTTTTCCCTGCTTCGCGCCTAAGCAGCGGGCGCAGGCAGAACACAGCATCTTGGCCCCAAGCGCCACAGACTCGCGGAATGGTAGCCCTGCTGAAGCGCCAGGACAAGAGACACAGACCCTTAGACTTGATTGCCGCGTGGCTGAAAATTCCCTGTACTCTCGGAGAGCTGGCCGACGGTGCTCGCCGGTCTCCACCTGCTGTCATCGGACGCTTGGGCGGCCAAAAGGCCTTAGGCGAGCACACGATCGGCCCCTGCCGCCGGGACAGCTCCCTTTGCCTTCCGGCAATGTTGCTGACGATGTTCGGCATCTTGAAAAACAAATCAATTTTGAATTTCCACACGCTCGCGATCGGTCTCAAGCAATGATTTTCGCCATACGGGGACTTGGATCGAGTAGAAGACACGACAGCCAATTTTCCACAAGCGGACGCAAGGCCAGACGCCTTCTCCCATGTCATCGCGGTCAAAGACACCGCATCACCGCACTAGACTTTCCTCATCAAGACGTCTACCATGCCCTTTGCCTCTGACCTTACACGTCCGGAGTTTCGGAGGAGCCGTTCAGCTGGAATCTTGAGCTGCGGGTGTGACTTCCACTGCTCCTTGAGGTCTTCTGGCAACAGCTCCGAAACCTGCCCACTCGTCTTGCCGGATCGATTACGCGCAGCAGCAGCTTTCCCGCTTACTGCTCTGGGAGTCAAGAGTGAGGCTTGAACTACTTGGGCTGCAGAGTCTGCCTCCAAGAGCCAATCGATGCTCTGTCCATGCTTGACCTTGCTGTTGTCTCCGCCTCCGCTAACCGCATTGCTGGCCCTTGACAGGAGAGACTTCATTGCATCAGCAGTGCGAGATCCAGAGCGATTTAGGGCATATATTGTTTCGGCAAGGTGGAGACTGACCATTGCCTCGTTGTTCTTGAGCCACAGAGAGTGCAAATCGCGACTGGCCTCGCTCGTCGGGTCTACGGTCACCTGGCCTTGCTGAGCAGTTTGACTTTGCACCCTGCTGAGCTCTAGCCGAATCAACCGCAGAGCGGAAGCCTGTATGCGCAATGCTTGTTCGAGATTGGCCCTCCAAGTTGCATCCCGAGGGTCTGTCTGGCCAGGCGAGGGCGGTGCGGCGTAAAGCCCGGAGATGGAGAGCAAAGTGGAGACGAGGGACCTGGTCAAACTTGGGGTGGGCGTGACAGCAGGCTTGGAGGCGACAGAGGTGGGTAGCGTAGCGTCTGGCGCGGCGTCTGGCGCTCCCTGCGATGGTGAGAGAGGGGCACTATGACCCCAACCAGAGAACCATCCTTTGTGAGACGAGGATGAAGCCGGCTCCTCTCCAGCCACTCCAGCCACCTCTTCTAAGATCGAGCCCTTGGCCGCTGATGTGTGGGAGCCTTGACCTGCCAATGTGATTGCTTTGAGCAGCCAGGCCTCTGCCTCCTCCCGACGGCCAATCTCCGCATTCAGGTCACCGAGCTTCGTCGCGAGTCGGACCAGCCTGCTATTGGCAATCGATGGGTGTCCCGAATGACCTACAGCCTCGTGTGCCGAATCGGTGGCAGCAAGAGCGTCATAGAGGCGCTCGTAGCCTGAAATGGCTAGCGGCAGAGTATCGTATGTTCCTATCCTCTCCCTGCAGGCTGCTAGTCGAGTCTCGAGGATGACAGCCGTCTGGTCCAGAGGAGCATCGGCACCACTCTGATGAGCGTTCTTGAGACCCGCTCTGAGGGCAGCAATGTCCGGCAACCTGATCCCCTTTTCTTCGGCTGTTTGCAGGCAGGCTGCTAGATATTGCTCTGCCGAAGCAAGCCCGTCATTCTTTTCGTTTGCAAGGGCGTTCAGAGCAGGGGCTGGACCGCTAGATTGGTTGAAGCCTCCAGAAGAAGCGCCATCCGAGGCCAGAATGAGAGAAGGCGCTACTCCCGAGCCCCAATGCGTTGCCATCCATGCGCTTCTCAAAGCATGCCTGCCGAAGAAGCCAAGACGCGGGTCGGTCCCGCCAGACGATGGCCCCCATGCCTCCTCCTCGAAGTCGGACGACCAGCCCCATGGATCATCAGAGGATGTGCCGAGTCGTGTCTTCGTATCAGTTGCGCCCTTCATAGCCACCTTCTCTACGTAGATGTGTGAGCCCTCGAAGGCACTTACGCCCACGACGGCGATTCCCATGCCAGTGAACACGATGATGCGAGCAATCCGAGAGATGATGGACACAAACTCTCCAAAAGGGGTTGCAAACGACTGGATGACTTGGTCCTGATTCGGAAGCGTCGAGTACTGGCGATGCGTTAGGCCAAAGGCCGGGTATCGAGAAGCACTGGCATCATGAGATCCAATTGCTCGGCAGGGTGAGCTGTGAGGTCGGCACGCCACATGTGAAGGTGGGCGTGTTCGAATGCCAGCAGAAAGACGGCAGGGCGTTGCTGCTGTCCCTGTAATCTTGATCAGAGGTTGTAGTATGGCAGCACTTCTTCTCATAGCTGTCGTGGTGGGTAGCGTGGGTGAGGTAGGGTGAGATAATGAGAGTAAGCCGTTGCTCGTACTCTCTCCACTCGGCGTGAGCTGCCTGTGGCCCAGAGTTGGGCCTCGGCTTCGCGCGGCGGGAAGAGCGTCACGTCTCTTAAAGTGACACCAATTTCGCCTGGCACCTCGTGTCCCTACCATCAATCCCTACCCCTATTCCCCTTTCCGGTCACCACTTACGACCTCGTTGCTCCTACAAGGGGACAATTGACAAACAGTAGACCCACAACGTCCTCGACCCTACAGTCCGTCATGACTACTGAGCTTAGCACGGGATGTATTGATCTCATGGGTAAGCAAAGTCGCGTGGCGGAGTAGAGCGCTCAGCTCCCCTCTCCCACCTCGCGTTGTTACTGACCCTCATCACTCGCTGTTGCCCGACCTACAGCTCGGACGACGGATCCTTCGCAGTCTGTCCCACCTGAAGAGGCAATCTGTCAGATTCTGAGCATCAAGAAGATTGCAGCCACCAATCCACAGGCGGGAGACAGGTACAGAATCATCCTCAGTGATGGAGTGCATTTTGCCCAGGGTGAGTGTGGCGCAAAGACGTGCTCAGCGCGAACCTGTACTGATCGTGTCAAAGCTCCCCTCCGCTGTTGATCTGTGCCGTCTACAGCGATGTTGGCTTCTCAGCTCAAACACATCGTCGAGACGGGTGCAATTGACCGTAACTCCGTCGTCCGTATCAACCAGTACGCAGCCAACAACGTCCAAGGCCGAAGGATTCTCATCCTGCTTGGCCTCGATTCTCTCGGGCCTCCTTTGACAGAGAGAATTGGCGCACCTGTGAATTGGGAACAAAGTCAGCAGAATGGGGGAGCAAATGGAGCAGCTGGGGGTGCAGCATCTAGGCCCGCCAATGGTGCTGCTCCGAAGCCGGAGGCTGGAGCAAGCAACGGCAAGCCTGCATTGGGTGGAGCTAAGCCTGCCGGAACAAAGCCTCTGTCTCGAGGGCCTAGCATGGCCAACGGAGCTCCTATCTACCCTATCGAGGGTCTCTCCCCATACCAGAACAAGTGGACCATCAAGGCTCGAGTCACCTCCAAGTCTGATATCAAGCACTGGTCAAATCAGAGAGGTGAGGGCAAGCTGTTCTCCGTCAACCTCCTCGATGAGTCTGGGGAGATCAAGGCAACCGGCTTCAACGATGCAGTGGATAAGTTCTACCATCTCCTGCAGGAGAACAAGGTCTTCTACATTTCGAAGGCCCGCGTCAACATTGCGAAGAAGCAGTTCAGCAACCTCAACAACGAGTACGAAATCGCTTTCGAGAACAGCACCGAGATCGAGGAGTGTCTCGATGCCACCGACGTGCCGGAAGTCAAGTACACATTTGTGCCCATCGACCAGCTCGACGGAGTGGAGCCTAACCAGACTTGCGATGTCATTGGAGTGGTCGACTCGATTGGCGAGTCGAATGAGATCATCTCAAAAGCGTCGCAGAAGCCTATTACCAAGCGCGAGTTGAACATGGCAGACCAAAGTGGCATGAGTGTCAAGCTGACACTTTGGGGCAAGACAGCCGAGACGTTCGATGCTTCTCTCGACAAGCCCATCATCGCTTTTAAGGGTGTCAAGGTCAGCGACTTTGGTGGCCGATCGCTCTCGATGTTCTCGTCGTCGACCATGATGATCAACCCCGACATCCCAGAGGCTCACGGACTACGTGGCTGGTACGACAATGAAGGCGCTGGTGCTGCTGGCAACTTCAAGACTTTTGCCGGCTCTGGACTTGGAGGTCTGGGTGCTGGAGGAGGAAATGCTGGATCCAACATGTCTGAGAGGAGGACGATCGCCCAGGCAAAGGAAGAAGGCCTGGGTATGTCGGGCGAGAAGCCCGACTATTTCAACATGCGTGCAACAGTCGTCTACATCAAGCAGGAGAATCTGTCCTACCCTGCTTGCCCAAGCCAAAATTGCAACAAGAAGGTGCAACAGGAGGACGATGGTTCGTGGAGGTGTGAGAAGTGCGACGCCACATATCCTGCCCCAGAGTACCGGTACATTCTTGCAGCCAACGTCTCTGACCACACCGATGCAATGTGGCTGAGCGGCTTCAACGACATTGGCGAGCTGCTCATCGGTATGACTGCCACTGAGCTGGAGAAGATCAAGGCGGAGAGTGAGACGGAATTTGCTTCTGTGCTGCACAAGGCGACGAACAAGATGTTCATGTTCAACATCCGAGCCAAGCAGGACAGCTTCAACGATATGACCAGGGTGCGCTACACGGTCACCAAGGCCACCCCTGTCGACTGGGCCGCTTCCGCGAACGAGCTGGCAGATGCGATCAAGGCTCAGCTCTAGATGGCAGGCTGCTGCTGAGCGAGTGTTGGTTTTGTTGTAGTCAGGGCGGCAAGATTGGTGTAGCTGCCTGTACTATAGTCCTTCTGCCTGTTCTGCGTTGGCATCTCTTTCCATGTCCGTTCCTTGTTGTCGTAGGTGTGCGTGGAGGTGTGTGCGCTGCGTGTGTGTGTGTGCGCCCGGAATCTTCACGGGACCCGGTTGGTCAAGGGAAGAACCTTGGCCCCGCTTGAGCCGGTTGCTTTGCTTTGCATGCGGGCCGGCGGGGCAGCCGGCGATCACGCGCGAGAAGGCCAAGAGCCGGAGATGGTGGGTGCACTGAGCGAGTCGCCTCGGCTCGGTTAAGTCCAGACGTCACTCTTTCCTTCCTCCGCTTCGTCCAAGGTTTCCCTCTTGTCTTCACTTACCATCAAACACCCATACAGGTCTGCAGAGACATTGTACCCAAGTCAGCCAGCTTAGCCTGAAAGCAACAGCAAGCCGACCAAGACCTACCCTCCTTTAGCACCGGCCTACCTCCCACTGCAACCATGGCCGACGACCAAACATCAGCAGCCATCACCGATGAGCAATTCGAGGAAAAGAAACAAGCCACTTCTGCCCTCAAGTCTTTCCTTTCGGGAGGTTTCGGTGGAGTTTCCGCCGTTCTAGTCGGTCATCCCTTTGATCTTACCAAGACACGTTTGCAGACGGCTGCAGATGGCACTTACACTGGTGGATTGGACGTGGTGAGAAAGACGCTCCAAGCTGATGGTGTTAGGGGGATGTACAGAGGTATGGGCCCACCACTGGTGGGAGTTACACCCATCTTTGCCATTTCATTCTGGTCGTACGACACGGGAAAGAAGATCGTCTATGGGCTGACGCCGGATAGAAAGGACCCTAAGCTCTCGTATAGCGAGCTGGCCTTTGCCGGATTCTTCTCGGCGATTCCCACCACGCTCGTTGCTGGACCCGCTGAGCGAGTCAAGGTGTTGCTGCAAGTGAGTGTCGCACAATGCTGCCATCTCGTAGGGAGGAATGCTGCCTTTGCTTCGAGCTGACACTGTTCCTTCTCCATACCCTTTCTTCACAGCTGCAAGGCCAAAGCGGAGGTACCGGCCCAACCTACAACGGTCCTGTAGACGTGGTCCGCCAGCTCTACAAGGAGGGTGGTCTTCGCTCCATCTTCCGTGGTACAGGTGCAACTCTAGCGCGAGACGGACCAGGAAGTGCCGCCTACTTCTGCTCTTATGAGGCAATTAAGCGTGCTCTAGCCCCAAAGGGTGCTGATGCTCAAGAGCTGAATTTACTCAATGTCATGATTGCAGGTGGAACAGCGGGTATGGCAATGTGGGGAATTGCTATTCCACCCGATGTCGTCAAGAGTCGTCTGCAGGGAGCTCCGCAGGGAACTTACTCGGGCTTCTTGGACTGCGCTAGGAAGCTCGTTGCAAAGGATGGTGTTGGAGCTTTGTTCAAGGGATTCGGACCAGTGAGTAGACAAAGACGGGGTAAGAGGAATGGAGGCCCAACCAAGGGTCTCAGTGGGTGGGGTAGGGAGCATTACTGACCCGATCTCGCATCGCTTTCTTCTCTCCATCTAGGCAATGGCACGAGCCTTCCCTGCCAATGCTGCCACTTTCCTGGGTGTCGAGGTCTCTCTCAAGATGATGAACACGGCCTTCCCATCGCTGTGAGCAAAGTCTTCTGCAAAATGCCTGTGCAACACACTTTTCAGACTTCTGGATCACGACATATAGAAAATGCAAAGTCACCACAAATTTGAGAGCGTGAGAGCTGAGATGAGCGTGCAGCTGTGCATGAGCAGAGTCTCGCTCGCTGGAAGAAGTCTATGACATCGATTGACCATCTAACCACATTAGAAAGCGCTACAAAGAGCCACCCCCCACTCTGCCCTCTCCCTCCCTCTACTTTCCCGCCAAAGTCTTGGCCATAAACTCCTCCATGACCCTCGCCAGCCTCTCCGTCTCTTCTACGCTCACAGCATTATACAAGCTCGTCCTGATTCCACCAACACTACGATGTCCCTTGACCTGCTCGATTCCATTCGCCTTGCAAAACTTGACAAAGGCCTCTTCTAGCGCTTCATCAAAGGCGGGTGCAGGGGCAGATTCCACTTTTGCCTCGCCTGCACTCGTGGTACTTTGAGCGGTACCGGCTGCTGCTGCTGCTCCAGTGCTGGCGATGCGGAATGTGACATTCATACGAGATCGAGCATTGGGCTGCTTGACCGTGGGCAGGTAGAATCCCCTCGAGTCGTCCAGGAGCTTATAGATCCTCTGTGCCTTAAGCCTACTCCTCTCTGCTGCTCCCTGCACACCTCCTTGCTCTTGCAGTAGCTTGGCAAAGACCAGACCCGAGACGTGAATGGAGAACATGGGCGGAGTATTGTAGAGACTGCCATTGTCCACTAGATTCTTGTACACGAGCGTTGTTGGAATCCGAGGTCCACCGTGCGGGACACCTTGGTCTGGGTGAACCTCCACTAGCGAGCGACGCAGGATCACAACGGTTACTCCTGGTGGTCCTACATTCTTCTGAGCTCCAAAGAAGACGATGGAATGGGCACGGATGTCGATGGGCCGCGAGAGGATGTTGGAGGAACAGTCGGCTACGAGGGGTACGGTAGAGCGGTACGCCTCTGGAAGGGATTCAACGGGGAATCCTGGCGAAGGGAATTCCACTCCGTCGACCGTCTCATTGTCACAGTAGTAGAGCATCGCTGGCTTTTGTGCTGGGTCGCTCAGATTCCATTCAGATACGGGAGGAATCGAGCCAAACTTGCCATTGGCCCCAGGAACCTTTCTGGCATCGAGGACAGGGTGGGCATTGAATCCTAGCCTGGTCGCCTCTTGGCAAGCCTTGTTAGACCAGCTTCCAGTGATGGCGTAATCAATGGGCGGTCCTCTACCTCCCGACTCTTGAAAGTAGCCAGGATTCGTGGCAGCATGGTAGCCGAGCAGGTTCAGGGCAGTGGCAGAGAACTGCTCTGTTCCTCCCCCCTGGGTGAAGATTACAGCGTAGTCCTCGGGCACATCGAGTAGCTTTCGCAAGTTGGCCTCAGCAGTCTCAATGACCGTCTTGAAGGTGCCAGAGCGGTGGGAGAGCTCGATGAGACCCATGCCTGTACCAGAGTAGTCGACGATGTCCTGCGCCGACTGCACCAGTACAGAGGTGGGCAGAGACGAGGGGCCTGCGCCCAGGTTGAGCGTCTGCGCTCGGCGCGAGATGTCGAGCGTAGGAGCAGTGGTGGGATGATCCATGATGAGAAAGTGTGTAAGGAAACAAGGGAAAAGGAGGAGATAACTTGTGGCGAGGAGTCAAAGTTGCCGATGTACAGCAACGGGAAGAAGTGAGGCCTGGGTGGTGGTGGTGACTCCAAAATCCACGCTCCGCCTGATCAAAGCGAAAAAGTGGCTCCTCTCCACCTCTGCTCGCTGCCGCATACGACTTCGGGAAAAAGTCACTGGGATCCTCGCAGACGATCGCTTCTCATGGCCACAGAGACGCAGAAGTAACACCCGGGAATTTCGAAGAGAGCACGTCACACAATGTGGCCAGGGCCAGGTCATACGCGGGCCGGAGGGTGTGACGCAGAGAATGGTACATAACCGGACATGGCGTGGCAAGTGCATCACCTTCTCTTCTCGGGACAAGTAGACAAGGATCGCTGGCTTTGACCTGCCCGCCCTTCTTTGCCTTGGTCAGTGAGGGCTGGCGATATGTACACGCCATTTGCACCAGCGTCAAGTCTGGCTGATTGGGGTCAATTGGCTGTCCTCCGACCACAAATACATCATCATGTTGGCTTGTATAGTGTTGATTGATTAAGAATAGCTAGCAAGTAGCTACGCATGAGTGAGGTACATGTCGGGGAGCTGCGATCAGATGGTCGGGAACTCTAAACGTCGTACTTGGAGATGGTGCTCTGCAAGAGGGTGGTGGAAGGGATGGAGGAAGTTTGTGTCAGTACGAAGTCCGTCTGCCGAATGTGCTGCCAAGGGCTTGACGAGGGCAGTGAGGCCACTCAATCTTATCTTTGCTCAACCTCTTCTTTTGTACTCACCTGCAGCTTGCCAGGGTCAGCGCCAACGACGGTGTCAATCTTCTCTCCATTCTTGAAGAAGGCAAAGGTAGGCATGGCCTTTACTCCCACCTCCTGAGTAATCTCCTCCTGAGCGTCCACGTCCACCTTGTAGAATCCAATCTTCTCTCCAGCGGGAGTAGCGGAAATCTTCTCAAAGATGGGCGAGATCATCTTGCATGGTCCACACCATGTAGCCCAAAAGTCGATTACGGAGGGCTTGTCGCTGTTGATGATCTCCTTGAACTGCGCAAGGGACTGGATCTCGGTAACGCCCATGATGAGAGGTGTGCTGTGGAAGTGGCGAGGGATTTGGGATGGGTGTGCAAAAGTACGACGAAGTGTCTGTTGTGTGGCGAGTCTGAGGGACATATATAGTAGTCGAAGTGGAAAGGGGAAGTGTTTGGCCAAAAGGAAGGATCTACTGCTCTTGGCTCGACTCCACTCTCTACCCGCACGCCAGAATGACAAGCAGAGCTCAGCTCCAGCCACGCCACGCCACGCCGCGCAGCCCCCCGCTGCCTCTCCCCCGGCCTTTGCTGCTGGCTGGCTGGCTGGCTCAAGCGTCGAGTCTAATCCCGGAGATAGGCAAGATCCCTAGACGCATCGCGATTGGCAAGCACACCATACCCAGCGGGGCCTATACCACCCACTGCCCAACACCCGCAAGCGAGTCGTAGCAGTAGCTAGAAGCATCTCAGCCTTCTCGAAGCATCCAAGATGTGCTGAGCAACGCAAGACTCAGCCGGCATTACTCGGCCATCCACCTGCCTCGCCGACACCCTCCACCCCCGCCCCGGCTTAACCATCATGACCTCCGGAGGTATGCCGCCAAGTGCACCCACGACCTTCCACCTTCCCAGTCCCATTCGCACCAGCACCGCTTCGCAGCTTCGTCAAGCAGTGATCCTCGTCCTCCACTCCATCCTCTTCCACCGCGTCTATGGCACTCTCAAACCAGCCAGTGTCCTCTACCTAACCACCGAGTTCCCAGTGGTACCCGAAAAGGGAGTGGTGCAGGTCGTGAGGAGCAAGGCGGATGAGATGGTCAAGAGGGTGCTCAGCGGCGCAGCGGCTTCAAGTACAGAGCTCGTCGTATCGCTCTACGACCCAGCAGCCTTGTCCACAGGACCTGCAGGCCCTTCCCAGCAACGGACGGAAGCTGGAGGCGCTTATCGGTACGGCTGGCTTGCGCAGGCCTTCGCAAGCGGGATCGGCGGACCAAGCGTAGAACATCCCAGCGGTGCTCCTCATAGCGAGGCCTCCACCTCCCTACCCATTGTGCCCGATCTGGGCTCTTTCAAATCTGCAGAGGAACACGGCGAGCCATTCGAGACATGGAGGATCTCCTTCCAGCTGATCAAGACGAGGAGAAGGAGCTCAGTCAGAGCAGGTGGGGGAGTTGAGCTTGATCCAGCTGGGAACGTAGACGCAGACGCACAAGTGGAAGAGCAGCTCGTTGAATTCCTGGAACAGATGCTGCGCTTCGTTGATGAGCAGAGGGACCATGTTCCCGCGCTGCCGTCGTCGGAATTGTGCCCGTTCCCCATCGTCATCGATGTCGGCCACAAGTGACCAGTGAAAACGACAAGGGAGCTTAGAGGACCGAGCGAGTAGCATCAGCTTGGTGTCGTGTACGCTGTAGATCTGACAATCAGACGCGGAGCTTCAGAAACTACATCAAATGTATTTGTATCGGCGACGAAAGTAAATAGTACAATTCCTTTTCCCTCCTTCACACTTTACTCTACTCTACTCGTCAAAAACAAAGACGTTCCTGAACCTTGGGTTACCCTGAGCAGTGTCCTTGTAAACGGCATCGGCATCATCGAGCTTCTTGATGTTGACCATGGACCGGACCTTGTTGTCGCCCAGGACAGCAAAGTCGACGAGCTCCTCATTGTTGATGGAGCAGCCACAGGTGATACCCTTGACGGTGCACCTGTTGGAGACGAGCTGCATAGGGGCGAATTCGAGGTTCTTACCATCGGGTGGGATACCCACGACGGTCATCACTCCATTGCGTGCAAGCAAGGGAAGCAGGCTGGAGATGGCGGCAGAGGAAGGAGCCGTAGCGACGGCTGCCTTTGCTCCTCCGTACTTCTTCTTGAACTCCTCGCCTTGCTTGGCATTGAAGAAGTCGTGGGCTCCGAGCTTCAGAGCGAGGTCCTTCTTGGAGTCACCGCCAGACATGGCTACAACGTGGTAGCCAGCTTTGCGCGCGAACTGGATACCCAAGTGACCCAGACCTCCAAGACCTTGGACGATGACGACGTCACCAGGCTTGGCACCAGTGGCATTAAGTCCATCATTGACGGTGATACCGGCGCAGAGAAGAGGAGCCATCTCAGCAGGGGACAGTCCGCTGTTCTCGGGCAGCTTCACGACAGCCTCCCACCTAGCAGTGAGGTACTCCTGGTGTCCACCTTCGGTGTGGAATCCAGTGACCAGTCCATTGTTGCAACCGTAGAATTCTCCCTTGCGGCAAGCCTCACACTGCTGGCAGTATCCACCGTTCCAGCCTAGACCGACGAGGAGACCCTCCTTGAACTCGTCGGAGACGCCGGAACCCTTCTGGACGATACGGCCGACGACTTCGTGACCGGGAGTGAGAGGGAACTTGACGCCCATGGCTCCGTGGTCGACGGCGAATTCTATTTGTTGTCAAGTTGGAACAGAGGGAAAGTCAGCATCGACGCTGCAGTTGTGAACGGTCGTGCAAGGCGTACTGACCATCTGAGAAGCAGAGCGAAGAAGCCAGACTGGATGAGGTGGGAGGGAAGAAGCACACCATGATCGAGTCAGATACGGCAGGCGGACAACTGCAGTAAGAGGGCATGGACACACTTACACCTTGATCAGAACCTGGTTGGACTCGGGCTTGGGAGTGGGGACCATCTTGACGACGAGGCCCTTACCGGCGCCCTCGCAGACGGCGGCCTTGTGCTCCTTTGGGATGTTGACCATATTGATTATTGTAAATTAGCGTAGATGAGAGATGTGCGGTTCGTTGTTGATGATACGGATGGAAAGGAAGGTGCGGATCCTTACCTCCGGCCCTAAGACCCTTCATATGTTCCTCGCAGTGCGTGAGACTTGGTGTCGCTTGACATCATTCGCAAGTGAGGTGGAGGTGGCGGCGGCCAAGGCTTTCCGCATCCGCCTCTTCCGATCCGATCTCTCGAGTTGGCCAGTTCCGCGGAGGGAGGAAGGAGCAAGCTGCAGTGTCGTCGTGGAAGGTGACCAGAAAAGAGCGGACGGGGGAGACCAACACTTTGATGAGTACAGTAGACATTGCCTCCTCACAACCACTGCACCTGTGTATCTCAGACTTAGCTAGCCCAACTTCCCAACATGCCTTCTCGTAGCAACCGACTCAGAAGCAGACGAGCCCTCGGCGGCGACACAGGTTCAGACTCCCTCTCTGCCTCAGGCTCTGGCTCGGAGGAGGTCCTGTCTTCCCCCACTCCAGCTCCCAAGCGCAGCACTACCTCCAACGTTCGTAGCACAGACAAGGCCAAGAGCAAAGCCTCACCTCGTCCCCGTGGCAAGTCCGGCAAGGCAGCCACTGTTGTAGACTCGGAGCCAGGCAGGCTGAAGCGTCTGCTAGCGCTGCTACTCGTGACGACGCTCCTCCTCACGCTCTACCACGTCTTCAGGCTATATACAAAGGGACAAGGAATCTTGGGAGCACCTGCTTCTCTAGGACGACGTTTTGGCTCCTCTTCCTCTTCCTTCTCTCACAACAAGGACGCACCGGGAGGGATGGTCGTGCATCCCTCCGCACCTTCCCCTTCGTCGGACAATGAGGACATCAGGCTGGAAGACCTGGACATGGAGACGCTCCAGGCTGCTTTCGACGCATTGTATGGAGATGGAGGACCACTAGGCCCGGGCAGTCAGAGGGGCGACGGGAGTGGCGAGTACAGAGTTGCAGGAAGGAGAAAGGAGAGCTTGCATTGAGGACCGAGCAAGGCAAGGATAGATGCAGCAACAAGCACACATACACGCCTCTAAGAGAACATCCGGCTCAAGCGCTCTTCCACTTCCGCCTCTGGACGAATATACTTGCCGGGATTGCTTGAGAAGTTGCTGGCAGTGTGCTTGGCAACGAAGCGAGTGTAGAGTGGCATGACCAGTCTGATGAGAAAATCGTGGATACGGTCAGCTATCTCTCAAGCCGAAGCTGGGAGCAAATCAGGTTCTTCAGACTTCTGGAATCACTCACCTCAAGACCTCCTTCTTAAGGTTTTCCCTCAGCTCACTGTCATTCCGACTGAGCGGGAAAGCCATGTGTAGTCGTTCAAGGTCGTCCAGCCCCTCAAAGAAGCGAGTGAAGCGCTGCTTCACGTCCTCCTTCTGGGCTCGATCGTTGCCTCCCAGCACTCCACCTCCGAGCTTGGATGTGACGGGCTTGCTGTGGAGACCAGCAACGTCGTCCATCAACGCCGACACTACCCCTTGCCAGGCATCGAGGTATTTGGCACGTGCTTGTCTCATACCGCCTTTCAGGATGTCAGAGCCGGGCTGGCTCAGGTATGCTTGCAGCAGAGGGGCTGCTCCCACCTCACGCTGCAGGTGGCCGACGTTGCTGGGGACCGGGAAGGGGCGAGGAGCGTGAGCTGATCAGTAGCCAATCGGGGTCTCTCTGAAGGAAGGAAGTAGACTCACTTCATCAGGAACATGGACGCCGTGGAAGGTTGTCTGATGGCTTTCGATCGTGCTACAAGGAGAAAAGATCGGAGCCATCGCCTCAGTACCCACTGTGCGCCCTATTGCAATGCCACATGAATACCTCTCACTACTTACCATCTAGTGCTGCGATAGTCGTTGAGAGTGTGTCGCAGATAAACTGAGAGAACATGACACTAGGTTCGCTCATGCCAGCCGATTGCGCTGTTGTGTTGGCCATGCTTCCGCTCATGATCCAGTTGCCAGCTCCGAGAGTAGCTAGTAGAGGGGCAATGGTATCCGCGTACTCGCATGCTTCCTTCATGAAGCTGAGGCCCATGTAGGTAATCTCGTTGATTCCCACGCTTGGCACCTCATTTTCTCTCTGCTTGGGAATGCCCTTGAGGTCGTTGAGGAACACGGGAAAGATGTTGACAGCGGTACTCCTCAAAGCCTGCAGCTGGTCCTGCAAAGCGTGAGCACCCCCTTCCATGCCACCGCTCTCTTCGTTTGCCTTGCCGGCAGGATTGACAATGACGCCATTCCATCTCATGGCCAGCTCTGACAGCGTGGCGATGAGGTCGAAGATGAAGATCATTTGAGAAGATAGATCTTGCTTGATGAGAGCGTGAATGGTGCTCATGGTGGTGCTGAAGTGCCGCAAGATGGGATGGATAAGTCGAGAGAATGTCGATGCAATGGTAGAATTTGACGAGGGTGGATTGAGAGACCGGAGCATGTTCGACAAGATCACATGCTCATTTTCTGCAAGATCGAGAATGGCTTTGATCCACTCCCTAGCACCGCTCGCACCTCGGTGGTAGGTGTTGTCTTCCTCTTCGCCATAACTGGCAGTCGCCATTCCCCCACCGCCCATGCGGCTGCTGACTCGATGATTTGTGAAGTCGATGAGACCTTGTCCGAGCGCAGCAATGGACTCTCCGAGGTAGAGCCCTCTTACGTCCGAGTAAGCTGCCAGCGAAGCCAGGAAAGGAGCATAGCCGTTCGATGGATTTGCAGGGAGGGATTTCTGGTAGGAAAGGATCGGGATGGTTGCTTCCAACACCGAGCCGGAGAGAATAGGGAGTGGCAGGCCTGAGGAATGCATCTTGTTTGTCAGTGAATTCATGCGCCTCTTCTGTGGTTCTTTGAGTCATGCTGCTTCTCACTCACGACGTGGTACATATTCATTGGGGTCGATCGCAATAGACTCTGCAGTGACCCAATCGCTCATGATTGTAGTGAGATTCCTGGCGCCTATCTCAACGAGCTCGTGCTGAGGGAATGGAGGAGAGCTGGCTGCTCTAGTCAGATATTGCGATGACGGGGAGTGGCAGGATACATGGCCCATGCTTGCTCACCATCTTCATCATAATGGCCTCTTGACTCTTGAGGTCACTCTTCTTGAGGTACTCGAGCCCTCTTACCACGCGGTCTATGGTGTCAAAGTACGGGTATAGATTATTTCCACTAGGTCTGATGGCAAAGATGGAGTAGTGATGGGGCTCAATTGCTATGCTATCGTGGACGGGAAAGCGTCTCTCTTCGACTCACCCTTGTAAGATCCTGGGCTCTTCCTCTTCCACCACATCGAAGTGGCCCAGCGTATGCTTTAGCGCCTCCAAGGTAGCATCGACGTTCTTCTCCACTCTCTGCAGAGCTTGAGTTCTGTGGTGGATAGGTAGCAATGTACCCTCTAGGCTGGCGAGGCGACGATCGAAGCCGGAGAGAATGGAAGTCATGCGAGTGGTAAGGGCATTGAGCTTCTTCTGGTTCGAGGCCAGCAGCTCGAGCTCGGCCAGGCCGTCGTCGCTATCGTGAAGACCATTCATGATGATGGCAGTGGTGGCGATATCAGCACCTTCAGCATCCCTGCTCCCGTCTGACTGCTGCTGTGGACCTGGTAGCGTATGCTGGCGTGTTGGTTCTGGTAGGACGTTGGTAGGCAAGCTGTTGTTGCCAAGCGAGTGTTGCTGTGCACTGACCTTTTGTCGGACTTTGAAGACGAGGGCGTCTGTCCGTATTTGCAAAAAAGTGGGTGAAGGCTGTTGCCTCGTAGCAGTCATCGGCAGTGCCTCACTTCATCATCCCAGACGATTCCGAGCTCAGTCGGTATCATCAGCGCATTCTCATACGGATGCAAGATCATTGATGGCTCTGGGTGATACGCTGCCATGGACGCGTACAAAGCAGGTCATCCAGTCTGCCTCCAGTCCTCCTCGTGAGGATGCCTCCGCCACCTCGGACACTACTGAGCGGCGGGACCCAATCACACCAACCTTATTCAGGTCTAGGATACCCATCGTACCAGTCGCAGCTACCATCTTCCTGATCGGCTTCACAGGAGCTGCACTCTATGGCGTCAGAGCTGGCCGCAAAGCGGAACTCAAGGAAGCCGCAGAGATGGCTGCGAAGAATCATGCTGCGACTCGGCATGCTGCGACAAACACGCCTTCGGCGCTGAGCAGAGCACAGCCAGCTTTGAACTCATCTTCTACATCGTCGTCAAGGGGAACGGCTTCTGGCTTCGACTGGGGGGCTACGGGCTCATCAGCTCCCTCAGCACTGTCACGCCGTGGTGCAGGCGCTGCGAGCTCGCCCCGCGGAGGTTTTTCAGCATCACCCGCAGGAGTCGCAGGGGGCCAAAGAGGCTACACGTTTGAAGAACCTCCAGCTGTCACCGCCATCAAGGCTTTCACTATTGCTACCGCCTTGGTCGGCGTGACGAGTGTCGCTGTCGTCGAAGTGGCTCGGCGAGTGTGGAAAGTGGAAGATGTGAGTTCCTGCGCAGCGTGGAGACGTGCACACCTTAGGCTGACGACGCACACTTCAAAACAGATGTACGACCTCACAGATCGACTCCATGATATGGCTCCAAAATCTTTTGCACTGTTCGAGAGCGTAGGCAACTTCATGCGGGCACGCCTCGGTGGCATCTTCCCAGAGCCGGCGGACAAAGAAGACCCTTTCGCAGCACCTGTCGGGGACCAATCTTTCCTGGAATCGCCTGAAGGAGCAAGTCACTCCTCGAACTGGCCCCATATCCTTCGCCCCGCCACCCACGTCCCAATCGATGTCACATCAGCTACTGCCAAGAATGCAGTTAAGCCTGTGGAAGACCTCTTCGAAGAGATCGAACAGGCACCGACGATGCGTGCTAAACTGGAGCTTGTCGAGCTACAGCTTCGAGGCGAGAAGGCCTTCGAGGATCAACATCGCGAGGAGCTACGCCGGCAGAGGGAGCTCCGAGGTACCGCTTCTTCCAGGGACAAGTCCCCATGAAACACCAGGGCGCACCTCCTCAATCCACACACTCCTCGCCTAATGCTCTATGGCACACCGTTCAATCCATTAATGGTTGGATATTTTGTCATATTGATAGATGGCTGTCCATGCTGAAGCAATGGATCTAGAGAGTACTAACGTTACAAGTGAAACAATGGATCTAGAGAGTACTAATGTTACAAGTAAAACAAGTCTAAGGCTCGCTGCGATGACTTCAGAGCGCAGGAGTGATGAGGTACGAAACAACATGAGGGGCATAAAACAAGGTGGATGAGGGCATAGACGAAGCTGGATGGGAGCATAGACGAAACTGGCTGTACACTGGACACGACTACGGAAGAGATGCAGCACATCTGACATCGGGAACACGGCCACGATTCGAAAGCAGCATACGATCCACGAGGGCCAGTGGCAGACGTCTTCGAAGTCCACACCATGCCCGGACTCAGGTGGGCACTTAGGCCTTCTTCTTGCCCTTGCCCTCGCCCTCCTGAGATTCGGGGGCGGGAGAGGGTGCAGGCTCGCTGCCTGTACTGTTTTCAAGCTCCTTCTTCAGCTCTGCGAGTTTCTCCTGGGCTTCTTTGAGGCTTTGCCAGTAGCTGGGCTCCTCCTCTTTGCCTGCCAGCTCAGCGATCTCCTTGTGGCAAATCTTCATGTCGTCGAGGATGGACTTCTTGGCGCGGCCACGCTTTCGAACAATTCCAGCGTAAGTGCACTCGATTCCAGCTTTTACGCAGCAGGAGCAACTAGGCTGGCCCTCATCGCACTTGGTCTTGCGGCGCTTGCAGTTGAAACAGGCGATACGGCTCTTCTTGGATGCAGAGGCCTTTGTGGCAGGCTTTTTCTTGTCCTTCTGTGCTTGGCTGGAGGTCTTCTTGGCACGTTTTTGGCCCTGTGCAGGCTGTGCACCATTCTGGCCCTGAGCACCTGCTAAGGGGGGAGTGGTGTTGCCAGTGGTGGCACTGCCGCTATTTGGGGATACGCTGACAGGTGCCGGGTTCACGGCATCGGAAGCACCGTCCACCGCTGCGGGGCCCTCAAGCACAGGGTTGGCAGCCGCAAATTCTCTGTACAAGGCAGCAATGAGAGCTTGTTGGTCGGCTGGAATCTGTTCAGCGATTCGATCCAAGGCGGCGGGAGCACTTTCTGGAATGTCCATGTTCGGGCTCTGCCTCAACGAGACACTGTTGCCATTCTGAGCAAAGATGGACACGAAGGCGTTAACATTGGCACTGGAGTTGCGGGTCTTCTGACTGGGTGCTGAAGGATTGAGTGTAGGGCACCGGTCGAAAGCTGCGTTGGTAGCTGCGGACAGGCTGCTAGGAAGCTGGTTGGGCTGTGCCTCAGGGCCAACGGCCTCACGCCCAGAAGTCCGGTGGTTTGCGAGCATGGCATCCACCTGATGGCACGACTGTGCGTTCAAGGGTAGCCCAAGATTGGCTGGCTGGAAGTTGTTGCTCGTCTCCAAGGCGGCACCGTTGATCCCAGCGTTCTGGCCGAGCTGGAGCATGGCGTTCCAGTTGATGTGGGTATGAGCGGGTGCTTGGGCTACTCCGGCCACGGATGGCGCGGCATTGGCTACCTGGACGTTACCGTTCACGTTGGGGACGACACTGTTGATCCCAGCGTTCTGGCCGAGCTGGGGCATGGCGTTCCAGTTGATGTGGGTATGAGCGGGTGCTTGGGCTACTCCGGCCACGGATGGCGCGGCATTGGCTACCTGGAGGGTACCGTCGACGTTGGGGGCGGCACCGATCGTCCAGAAGCCCTGGGGCATCGCAGGGACAGAAGCTTCTGCAGCACCGTTCATCCAGGAGTTCTGAGGAGCCATAGAGGCAGTAT